CGTTATGGAGTTATTCGCCTTCAAAGAAAGAAGTCTGGAAAACAAATTCCATTTATAACTTTTAACTTCTAAGTCGTTACTATCACAACAATGAAATTTGGGCAATTAAAGTAACTCATGATAACGTTCATTTCGAAGTTTAAACTGATATTCAATATGCCTGGATTATACAGGAGCTGATAAAATTATCCATTTATACATTTTTGACAGCTTTGCCAAATTTGTCACTTTTTTTCATAGTTCATTCCTCGATATCTTGTACCGTTTTTGAGAAAATCGAATTTTATTAACATTGTATCTACAATGTGATATTAACATTTTTGTGCATAATTACATACGCCGACATCATTAGAAATGATCACTACATGTTATTGCGAATACATTGTCGAGGAAATAAAGCACTGAACCTCCGAAATTTTTCGATTTGTCGTATCAAGATGGGGTTTTTTTGCATTCGGTTTCTAAAATTATGTGGAAAAAATTTATCAACTTTGTATTATGTTTTTGGACCAAATTGCATTTGTGCAAAATGCATCTGGAAAAATCATTTTTTAGTCACTTAGAAACAATTCACAACTCGGTTAATAATGCCTGGAATGGACTCAAATCAGGGTCTTGGGGGTTTTCGAGGTCGCTGATCCCGAATATGGCCTTCAAATTGGTCCATCACCTGGAGCTTAGGATTGATGATGAACGTCATCTCCGAGGCTTCTCCTGAATTTCACTCTTAAATGCAACGAGACTTGACACCCGGGGGTTTTTCGGGTCGCTGATTCCTAATCTGGCGTCGGCGAGCCCCCCCCGGATACCTGGTGCACCGGAACCTGGACATAGACGTCATCTCCGGGAGTTTCCCTGTAAAATTCGCGTAAACGAGTCGAAAATCGCATCAGGGTGTTTTTCGGGGCGCTCTTCTTCTCTTTTTTCTTTTAATTCTATAGAAACAAAGATTTTTACAAAAATGGTTGACATCCTCTGTATACTCCTTCATTTTTGATATTACCTTTCCGGACACTCAGTATATACAAAATACACTTTATTTCACAATCAAATAATAGGTACAAATACAGTGTTAAAAATAAAAATATTTTTAATCGTAAGCGTAGAAATAATTTCCCTTTATAAAAATATAATCAATCATAACCAGCTGGAAGTTGGGTAACTATTTCTCTACTTCAAATATACCTACTCTCAAAATACTCTGGTACCTACTTTTCATAGGAAAGTTTATATAAATTTCATTTATATCATGTATCAGGTAACACAAAAAAATTTACATTTTCTCGTGGGCAGTACCAACTATTTACCTAATCCATTTTACTATGGACATTGAGAAAAGCCGACACTACCATCAATTTCGATTTCACACCTCTCCTAGACGACATGTCAAGCCTTCTGCAAGGTATTTGAATCAGAACTGATTGCTTTAATTGAAAACCTTGTGTGGTAACTTCAATAGCAAATCCCGAACGGCAGTGTGTTTCTATTCCCACTCGTAGACGACGACTATTGTTTTCAGAACGGGTTGGTACGAATATATCATTGTCAATTAGAAGTTGTGGGAATTAACATTTTATGAACTAGTTCTTGTACTGGAATTTGGTCTACGTGGAAAATATGCTCGTATTAATATTTATTTATTGCACGCAACAGATGTGAGTGATTTGTTGTTTTTTTGAGGATACTTTTCAGGCTGGATTTCAAATAAATATTGCCAAAAATGCTTAGTTTCCTAGATGTAGGGCGTTGAAAAAATTTTCAGCTTACCTCAGAGACACTTTAAGAACAGAAACTAAAACTCCATTTCGTCTAACAAAGTACTACCATAATGTCCGTGTAGATGTGCTACACAAAATACGTTCGAGATTTGCAAAATGAAGCCTTTTTGAAAACGAATTTCGAATATTTACATAAAACATGGTATTTTTTTATTGTAACATATTACGGAATCCTATGCTTAGGTTCTCAGTAGGAGATATTTAAAAAAATGAATTTCGTCTATTACAGCGCCATCTATCATGAATCAAAAAATATGTTTCAGGCAAATCCTACGTACTTTTAGCCATATAATCGAAATATGCAACAAAAAATAGGGGTATCTATTTAAGAAAAAAAGTTCCTATTAAAAAAAGATTTCAATGTTACACCCCACCTCACCTACAAGGAGGGGGGAAGGTGGACTAATTTTAGCACTAAGATATTTTCATGTTAAAAAATCGCCCATTATAGGAAAGTATACATATTTGGACAAAACACCTCATGCTGAAACAGTTCAAGTGAAGTAATATTTGCTCAATGTACATAAAAATACATAACCTGTATGTAAAAATAATTAATACTTTAAAAATGTATTTTCGTTCATATTCTTTAAATATAACAATTCTAAAAGTAACCGTTTCTTTAAAGAAAAGTTTATTTTAAAATGAATTTAATTATATTGGGACAGCACATATAATCCTGAAAAATGTTTTTTTCGGATTTATTAAAGTTAGTTTTTATCAAAGCCTTTATGCCTGCACAAATAGTTTCTATTGCAACTAACAATTTCAAGTACTAAGTTTTAACATTTTGTGTGTAGCTGCGATAAAGGTTGTTTAATAAAGCAAACAAAATCTACATACCTAAACTGTATTCGAAAATTTTATATTGTTTACCAAAAAAGTAAATATTAGTCTTTCCAACAGCGCTAACAGCGCTGGGAATGAGTACTCACCGTGTTGAATTTTACATTTGAAATGATATTTCGTTCAGATGAGGCTCACGCAGAAATTTCTCGTCTTACTGTTGAATATTTTACAGTATAATTACAACGCTCTTTGAATAGTAAATGGCAAATGGGAGCATATTTTTTACTTTGCAGCTGAAAGTTCTAGTGATATTATTAAGTGGAAGGAGTAGTTTAATAACAAAAAAAAACAATACTTTGAATGAAAATGGTTCAATTCTTAACAAAACTGAAAATGATAAAACATTTCAGATTAAATTAAATTCAAACAAAAACTATGTATCCGAATGCGGCAATTCAATAAAGAATAACCCAAAAGCTTTTTGGACATTTTTCAATAATAAAAGAGGTCATACGAGAATCCCTGGTGGAATGCACTACAACAATTTGGAGTTAAACAAACCGCAAACTATAGTTAATGCATTCAGTGGTTATTTTAGTAGTATTTTTCTTCAGCCCAATGTGTCTTCTGCTGTCAATAATAATCCAATAATAGATAATAATTTGCCTAACATAAACATTTCGCTTTTTACGGAGAGTGAAGTCGAGCTGTCAATTCGTAAATTAAAAAACAAAATGACTTGTGGTTTTATAATAACAGACTGTGCCACTGTGTTATCTCGCCCACTTGCTGTAATTTTTAATCTTTCTCTTAAACTTAATATATTTCCCGATCTATGGAAATCTGCCAGTGTCTGTCCTATATTAAAGAATGGTGATTCTTACATAATTAATTATAGGCCTATAACTTTACTTTGCAATTTCGCCAAAGTTTTCGAAATATCTTTGTATAACCGCATCTATTCTCTTATTCGTTCATTTGTTTCTATAGACCAGCATGGTTTTATGAATATTATCGACTAGCAAGGGCAGGTAGGTGTGGTGTACCTACACTGATTTTTCGAAAGCATTCGACAGAGTTGACCATAAGCTACTGTTGGTGAAATTGGAGAGACATGTTTTTTCTGCGTCTTTGATTAAATGTAATTATTTTATGACTACTGAATTGACTCTGAAATTTTGAGACGAGTAGATGAAGTTAAAGATCTGGGAGTGCTTTTCGACAATAAACTTAGTTTTTCCTCACATACTGAGCTGACTGTCTCATCATCCATGAGGATGTTGGGTTTTATCTTTAGAATAGGACAAGAGTTCAGTGACAACAATGTTCTGATTAAACTGTATCAATCATATGTTCGTTCCAAATTGGAATACTCCTCGTTAGTGTGGAACTCCATCTATGTATGTTATATTAATATGATTGATAGAGTACAGAAAAAAATTTGAAATTTTTAGCATTGCGCCTTGACAATAGATATCCAGAGAGAGGTTATGAGTTGTGAGTATAATCATCTATTAAACAGATTTGATTTCACTTCAATATTGCATAGAAGAAAGATGTATAGCGTAATTTTTTTTATATATGCTACTGCACAGTATCGTTGATGCACCGAACCTCCTTGCTCAAATTAATTTTCTTGTGCCGAGAATTAATAATCGTGTGACATGTACGTTTTACAATGAGACTGCTCGTACCAATATTTTATTGAGATCACCTCTTCATGTTATGTGCAGCAACTATAACACTGTATGTCATAGGTATATGTGATATTTTCAATTGTAGTGTTGGTGTACTATTATGTAATTTTAAAAATAATTGTGACGTACCGTAGGATGTGCTACTGTAATTTATAAATGTATTTGTTTCCTTCTAAACTATATTTCAGTATTATTTATTTAATCTAGTTATTGTATTAATACTTTATCTTTATCTGTATTAGGTATTATTAGTTTCTGTTGTTTTTTACTTTGTCCTGTAATTGGAAGTATTCTGTTGGAAAAATAAATAAATATTATTATTATTATTAATTTTTCTGTAAAAACAATTCATTTAAATCAACAGACTTGCGCAAAAATATAGGGTGTTAATGTGTATGTGTCTCAATTTTTTTTAACCAAATCCATTTCGAGAACCATCCTCTGTCGACTGTTTAAATGTGAATAGAAATACNTTATTATTATTATTATTATTATTATTACTATTATTATTATGCGCCAGGATTTACCTTATATCCCCTTCATTTTGAATAATATTTCTATACAAAGTGAAGTTTTATGTTTTCATTAGGCACTGACAACATTTCCATGTTTATTATGTATAAAAATAAAACCATTAAATTAAATTTACGGGTTTTTTTGAGAACGTAATTAGTATTCCACATAAAAATATAAATCAGAGTACATCACACCTACTAACTCCCTCTTTCTTTTTCAGATGCAGATAGCAGCGGAGACCGACTTAATTTAATTGATTTTCCAATTAAATTAAAGTCATTAACCATGCACAACCCGTATACCCTTCCATGCGACTATTGCGGCGCTGACATCTGCAAATGGTATATTGTTTGCTTCATCAAATAGCCTCCTGTTAGCAGTTCTGTCCTTAACTTACCTGTGTCTCTTAGTTAACTGCATGTATTGTTTTTTGTGATTTCCGTGCACCGTCATCGATCAGCATGTTATCTGCAAACGTGCTGTGTCTGAAGAAGAGGAAAAAACGGACCTACTGCCTTTCCGGTTCGTCGGTCAAAAAGGATGCCTCCGCGGCAAAGGATGCAAGGTGAGTTAATATTCAAATGACTGCATTATGCCAAATAGGATAAAATTTTGTATGAGTAGAAAAAAAAGTTAATTAATATCCTGCGCAAAAGCTACCTAATTGAGCGCAGTTTGCCGAAATCTTAAATCTTTAAGAAAGGGAACTTGTGTGTTGTATAATTTAACAAACTTTGTCTTTGATTAAAAACTCAAAGAACAATTACCAATCCAAATATCGCATTTGTCACTGCTTAATATTCGCTGACAAATGATGCTAACTCGGTAAGCGAAATCCCTTTCAAGACATGTTCTATAATAGCTGATACTTCTTGCATTTCAAGCGGAAGGATGAGAAAAATAAATCTAACAGAAATATTTAAAGAAAATTTAAAAAAAGAGAGGAGTTTATTTTCTTAATATTCTATGATTTTCCTTTGAAAGTTGAGTAGGAACTTCGATTAATGAAATCTATTAATAAAACAATATTAACAGGTTAATCTATAGAATTGGTACTTTATGTAGGTCTGAACTATGTAAAATGCATCGCCGAATCCTAATTGGGACCAAAGACATAAGAAAATGTTCCTATTAACTGGAAAGAATTAAATAAACTAAAATTATTTTCATCAGGTAATAGATTAATTTATTTTATGCAAAAAGTTTAATATGAAGGTGGGAATTTTTTGTTAAAAGTCTTAATTTCAACGTAAATAGAAATTCAAAAAAAATGCCTAAAATTTTGATCAGAAAACATATAATATAGTATTAGCTCTCGTATTTGATCTATTATGAAGATAATAAAAAACATTTCACATTAATCTACTGTCGAAATAAATAGACCCCTGAGTTTGAAAACCAATATTAAGAAAACGTAGGGGCCAAAAAAGTTTGAAATTTGGACCATATATATAGCCTCACTATTACTCTATTGTGTGCTAAAATCTCAGTTAGTTTCATTATCCAACTTTTTAGTTATTAATGAAAATATTGAAAAAATCACGGTTTTCTGTCTACATAATTGATACCTCTCACTTTAACTCGTCGTAGTTTTTTTGTTAACTGATATAAAAATTCCAAATTTTCACTGACGATAAGTCGAACTATTGTCTTTAGTACTGTGAAGGCCATTTGTCTCAAAAACTATTCTTTTTTTATTTTTAAGCAAAACAGAAGGGTGTGCTATCTCCGTAAATATTGCGTTCTTTAAAAAAAAGAAAAAGACTGGCATAGGTAGTAAATAACTGTCAACAACAATCTGAAAAAAATTGCGTTCACGGTCCGATGCAGGGTATACAGTATAGCCTTTATAACTGTAGTATTTTAACAAATTTTTTCAGATTGTTGTTTAAAATTATCTACCACTTGAGTCAGTTTTTTTCTTTTTTTTTTAAAGAATGCAATATTTACGAAGATAGCACTCCCTTCTGTTTTGCTTAAAAATAAAAAAATAAGAGCTTTTGAGACAAATGATCTTTACAGTACTAAAGACAATAATTCGACTTATCGTCAGTATAAATTTATAATTTTTGTATCAATTAACAAAAAAATTACGACTAGTTAAAAGTGGGAGGTATCAGTTTTGTAGGCAGAAAACTGTGATTTTTTCAACATTTTCATTAATAACTAGAAAATGGCAAAACAAAATTAACTGAAATTTTAGAACACAATAGAGTAATAGTGAGGCTATATATGGTCAAAATGTCAAATTATTTTGCCATTACTTTTTCTTAATATCGGTTTCCAAATTCAAGGGTCTATTTCATTTATTTCGATAGTAGTATATTCAACATTTTTGACATTGGTTTTTTAAAACGTTATTTTCTTTCTAAGTTTCTTTTTATATGTATTTCTTTTTACATCGGGTATATATTTTTATAGCAATTATATTTAGAAATATTATTTTTCATATTTGTTTTAGATAATAATTTATGGCTAACATTTGTCAGATATTGCTGGTGTAATTCTACAGGGTGTTAGAAGTTTGACTGTTTTAATTTAAACAGACGATATAATACATTAAAATAAACAAAAAACCTTATATGACATGGGTCCTCAACCATTTCTGAGAAAAAAATTATCTAAATCTCCAACTTCATGTACAAAAGTTCGATTAATTAAGGAATATTGACAACTGAGTGGCTAGAATACCATAATGTTTATCAATTTTTTAAACTTCTTTATGCTTAATTCTAAAAAATAATTAGCGTTGTATTACATTTAAAATTCGATAAAATTCATATCGAGCAATGTGACAACGGCGCGGCGGATAACTCGAGGTACTAAGCTGTCCAGCAATACGCAATTCAGTATCTGGAATTGGACCGTATCTGAGTGTTTTTTGCGTACCGCTATTTCCTTTTCTTGAGGTGTTTTCCAGCGAGTGCGCGAAAATTGGACAAAGGTGTCGTGCGTGCAAGGAAAATGGTGGTGAACATTTTGAGGATTATATGTTGTAGTTTGTTTTGTACTTGTGCGTTTAAGAATTACTGAATTTTGCTTTTTTGTAAGTACCTAAATTATTTTTAATACATATGATTATTTCGATGACGTGAATCTTTGGGGTACTTTAATTACATATTTTTCAAATTCATAATTTGATTAAAACTTAAGTTTCTGTTTTAAGAGATTCATAATTATTAAAATTCGAGCTAAAATTTAAGCACAACACTATCTTCATACTACAAAATCGATACAATTTACTAAATGTTTCACAATAATAGTTGTTTACATTTTTTCCGTAGGACAAGTCTGCCGTTTGCACACGTGGTATACACCAGCTGTGTAGCGTTAGGTTAAGCTCTGTTGCCACGTTGTGATGAAACTCCTCAATAATTATATTCATAAGTAGTTGCGTTATCAGAAGTATGAATGTGTACTTCAAAATCAATACATTGACAAACAGTGAACAATGAATTCCATTGCATTAAACCAATTCATAAAATTGAAAACAATGGCATAATACTTCATGTCAGATACTTTGAATAGATGGACGGCTCGACACACAAAGCGCCGGAATAAAAATAAATAATGATTTGCCCTTTTTTTATCCTTGTAGGTATGTTGAATACGTATGTTGAATAAATTACTTAATAATTCAGTGTGTGCACTTATGGCTCTACCTTCATGTAGATGATGTTGTCACAAGGTTAATATAACCTGATGCTTATATAAGCTTAGTAGAGATCTTTGCAGAATATTTCCGGCTGGTTAAAGATTTATATCTTTTACTGTGCACCGAATTTCAATTGTCTTCATTTGTAATTCAATTAACTGATACTTCTAGAGTCGGTAGTTTATTACAGACGAAACATCCTGGTTTTTTAATCATGCGCACACTTATTTTATTTTGTATATGAGTCGAAAGCGAACTAGGGTATCTCCTTCTTAAGACCCTTAAAAGATTAGTGATTTATAAAATTAAATTTGTTATAAATGTGACAAAAAATGTCACCCAAAAAAGAAATATTTCAAAAAAAGTTCATAATTTCAAATAAGGCTATTACAAATGGCTAAAAGATAAGTAATTTATAAAATTAAATATGTTATAAAAGTGACAAAAAATGTCACCCAAATAAAAAAATATTTCAGAAAAAAGTTCATAATTCTTTTCAAATAAGGCTATTTCATATATGACAAACATCTTTTGCGTGTTTACATACTTTTATTTTGATCTTGTAAATTTACTCGTATATTTTTTTGTAAGCATTTTTTGAACTCACACAGCATGATAAACAATGCCTTTATTTAATTTATGGTTATTTTTTAATATATAATACATAGGTATTTTCTATGTTAAAAGTTGTACTTACATTTTGTGTATTTATTTATCAAAGTACTGACTTTTTTAAAATTAAATGTATTTTCACTGTAGTTTCATATACCTTTTTTATATATAAATGAATTATAATGTAAAATTTATTTTTTTCATCATTCATTTATACTTATTTTCCGATGGAATTTTTTTATCACTCCGTTGGCGATATAATGATTTAACACTTGATTTATTTAACGTTTGTCAGCAAATTGACAACTAATTATTGTACTGAAGTACAGCTATACCTCAATAAGATAAGAAAACATAAACTGCCGGAACTGTTAGTAATATAATGAAGTTTGTATGAGGAATGACATTAGGGAACAGTTACATATCTATGCCGTTAATGTTAATAAGAAACATATTTTTGTACAGTTGATATTATAATTATTAGAGTTAATTTCATTTCATACCTATGATAATAATTATTAATACAATGATTTAGGTAGTGTAATAATTTAGACCACATTTGATTTTTTGATAATAATTAAGTTTACAGTTTGTAAAACAATTTTTGGTTTTAATTTGTAGTGCCTCAAAATTTAATAAGCTAATTTTGTGCAAAATCATTCCTGAATTAAATAAGTAATAAAATATTTGACAGTATTAATGACTGACTATTTGATAAAGTATTGAAATTATTATAATTTTACAATTTGTGAAAAGATAAAAAAGTTATTTCCAGTTTCTCATAATTTTAAAATACAATATGCATAATTATTTGTTAATTGTACACATTTTTTATTAAATCAAAATTAATATTTTAATTAAGAAACTTTTTATTATTCTGACATTATAATTAAAACATTCGTAAATATTCTTACTATTTTACTATAGTTTTATTGTGCTTATTATGGTTTGTAATTTATATTAGTTGAATAGAAAAAATTCATACCAAACTTGCAATTCAATGACATGGTAAAAAATCTAAATTTAATTTCAAATAAGTATGATTAAATTTTGTATTTTTATTTACAATTTCTATAATCTCAACGGCATTCGAAAGAGAGAGCCTTGTACTTTTAAATTTTATGTATTTTTTTTGGAAAAAGAATAGGCATTACTACATAAACTCAAATATGACGAAAACCAGTGTTTTTTTGCACTTTTAGGTTAGGATATCTCAAAAACCTGACGTGATAGAGCAATTCTGCGGCGGTCAGATTCGGATTCAGCGCACCAAGATCCTTCGGGAATGCATATTCATG